ATCATTGCGATAAGGTTGGCTACTGCGGGCCAATCATGTCCGCACATCCCACATTTCATGTCATTTTGGCCCGCAGTAGTCAACTTTCCTCGCATCTCGTTCGGTGACCTGGACAACATCTCATTCCATGGAAGTGTTGCTCTCTCTTCTGTTTATTATGCTTTGCAACGCTGTGGCTACTTGTGAAGCCGCTAAAGTGCCGTTGCCTTTTGTGACTGCAGCACAGGCAGCAAGCCGGTCCACCATCGACTCGCGAAATTGTAGAACAGTTATTTCGTTCACAGTTGTAGTTTTGATAACTTCCAGTACGTCCTTGGCCGTCAGATCCTTTGTCGCGGTTCTTCCAAGAAATTGTATTACGGTGGTAGCGATACAACACACATAAACACCACAGTCCGTGTGATTGTTCGGTTGCGGGCATTCCGCATACACAAGTTTACTTCCTGCCAGATCCCTGCATGTCACCCACGAAAAATGAACCTTTTCGGGTGTCAAAGCCTGCAAATTCGATGCCTCGTAAAGGTACTCGTACCACAAAAGTGTTCGCAACGCCGTCCATTCGTCTCGGTTTTTTTCTCTCATTGAGTCAACGACGATAGCAATGGGAGGGTCGGATATGCGGCTGTCCGCAGTGACCTCCAAGAAGGACCTCGCATTCAGCAACAGAAGAAGAATCCAGTATTTGTTACGGTTCACTGGTATCACAGTGACCGGCGTGCGTCGCAATTCGTTGCACGGTCGATGCAATTTCTGTGGTCTCTTCTTAATTGCGTCCTCCCATCCTTTTTTCGTCAATTTCCCAAATTTTTGATTGGCGACGACCTCGGGGTGCCAGAAAGTTGTGGAGACGTGAACATAAGACCTGTCCTGGCCCCGCCCAACCTCTTCATACACAGACTGCAAATAAATGTCAATAATATTTTCATTCAACCATCCGTCGTTCGACAACCGTTCAATGTCGGATTTTGATACGGGTATGGCGTGTTGCGGAGATTTCCATGTAAAAGGAAACAATTCGACCACGTCAGTGATGTCGGTCTGCTCATCTCTCGCTCTTGTCTTGTCCCCTGCTTTCCGTTTTCCCATACAACAGGAAGAGTGTTCCCCGCAGGACTGGGGCCACTCTGCTGCACCCTCAGTCAGTAAATTGTGCATTTTCGCGCACCATGGGTCTGATAACATGTCCTGCCAGCTCTGTGCTGACCTCTGGCTGCTCGATGGGAACAACGGTTTTCCCTCCCTGGCACCATTACCTGTTTCGGTGCGCTGGTATGGCCCCTTCGCAGCGGCCGACCAATTACTACTGTTGTGCGACTCTGCCATCGTTGATCCCCTTCTCTTACCTGCACCCTGTTACTCTGTGTTCCGTGTCGCTTCTCCCCTTTCGCCCCCTCCCCGTTTTGTGGCGTCGCAACTTTGTGTTCATAATCACACACGTAGGGAGAGGCAGAAGACACAGAGGATTAGTTATGTTTTTTAGCAACGGCGAATGGTTTTTGTCGATATGCTATATATATATATATAT